ACCGACCATTGCTCCAAGTTTCTATCAAGTTGAAATTGGCTTTAAACAGCTTTTAAGCACATTTTTTTCAACGCACTCGTCTCCTGTTCCCGCAAAATTTCTTATTCTCCCAGACTCCCATTCAAGAATTTGTAACTAAATAGAAACACGGAAAATGTTTTCTCCTTCTTTAAAAAAAGAGGAAGAGGGGAAGGAGGAGGAGAGGGAAGAAGAGTGAGAGGAGAAGGAGGGGGAGGAGGAAGAGGAAGTGAAATACTTTCATGATAAAATCTGCAAGCAAGGCTTGGTGGTGAAATTAGCTGGTCTGATGCCACCATGCAATTGAGCTTTCAACAAGGAATTTGAAAGTACTCCTCGCTTGTTTACAGTAGCTTTACTGGGGTGTAACAAAATTTCCTCTCTGTGGAAGTGAGAATTTTCTCACGTAGCCAATCATCACTTGGACGCTTTGAGCGCTTGAATACTGAAAATTCGATATATTTTGGATCATCCACAAAAATAATACAAATTATCATATGACCCGTACGGCCCCGCGCGCAATTTCCTTGGAAAACCATAACAAAAAAGGTCCCGTATGAGGGCCGTAAGCGTCGAAGTGATAGGGCCGGAAAAACACGTACGGTCCTATTAGAAATGCGTACGGCCCTACTATAAACTCAATGCGAGCTAATGACAAAACAATTTTGTCGCTGCAAAATTTTGTTTTCTTCAAAATGAGTGATAAAAGTGAACATTCTGAGAGCGAAGTTTACTATCCAGGCGAACTGTCTGATGCAGAATTACTTCAGTCTCTAACTCACTCCGAAAGCACAGAAAGAAAGTCAACAGTCCTCACAACTGAAGAAGTTCACAACTTTCTCAGAAGCCAACAACAAGCAAACAGGCAGTCAAGAAAACAACTTTTCCGGATAAATTTTCCGATAATTAACCTTCGGAATAAGCAAACAGTCTTGAGACGAAACTTCTTTCAGTGGAAAGTATCAAAGAATTCATCGTGGGTCAAAAGCAAGAAAACCGGCAAGTCGCGAAGAAAACAAAGTAAATAAAAAAAACAAATTTTTTCTTCGAGTTTCCAGAGTTGGGAGAAGAGAAATCACAAACATACCTTGTGTACAGTAGGATA